ATATACTCTTCATTTTCTTTCCTCAAAAGTTTTGTCATTCTCAACCAAGACCATTTCTTTTTTTTTTTTTCCCTCCAACGAACACCCCTATTCCCATGGTTCCCTACTTTTCTGGACATTATTTTTGAGGAGCTAATTAATTAAATTAAATTTTTTGTAAAATAAAGAAAAATTCAATTAAAAGAAGAATGAAAATTAGAGGGCCAAAATGAGACAATACAAAAATATATTATAATTAAAATTTGCTAAATATTTTATATATTTGTGTTTTATACGTTATTGTATTTTCATAATAATAATTAGGGTTTGTCTAATTTTGATTTAATATAAAATAATGATAATGAATATACATATATATAGATTTAAGAAACATTAAATAATTAGATAAACATGCATATTATTGTCATTTCAATTTCAATTTCAATTTCAAAATATGCACTATGAAAAATAAACTATAGATATACAATAAAAAAAAAAAAGCTTCAAAATTTTATTTGACTACTATGGATGTCTATGAAATTTGATGAACCAATACAATATATTTATCAAAATCTTATTTTGTGTCCTCATCATCCCATTGTATTGGGTCTTCTCTTGTCTCCTCATCATCACTTTCTTTTGAAAGCGTACGTTAAAAACAAAAAATATATTCTATTATCTTTTGAAAGTTTTTTTTGATAAAGTTAAGAAAATATCTTTTTAAGTAATGTAAAATGAAATCAAATAAAAATCATACAAAAGTCTTCTTCTCTTTATCAAGCTCTTTTCGGACTTCGCTTCCTCATGCACATTTGTTTGATTTTTACTTGATGAATCTAATGATTGACCAATTGCATTTGATTTTCCCAAATTAATTGTAATATTATCATTTGAAGTGGTATTCTCATGTTTGTACAATAAAAAAATAAATATTAAGTCTTAGTTAATAAAAACATAATCCATATTTTGTTATTTAAAAAAATATATTTTACCTTTGAATCAGTAACCATTTTGTTAACAATAAAAGATTCATTTCCACCAGCTTTACTGAAACTGTTTGCCTTTAATTGAAATGCATGAGTTGTATCTATCAAATTCAACAATGTTGGAGGGAGTTTATATTCTTCATCATCATTATACATATATCAAAAAAAATTAATTGTGTGCGTTATTTATCAAATTTAATATATTTATATACTTTATTAATTAATAAAATACTTACAACAATGTGTTTATCAACTACTTATGCCGCACTAAGTTGTATTAGTCCAAAAGCAACATCATAAAAAAGAACAAAGATTGTCTCCCCAGTGCTATTACCAACTACCAATTCCAAACGATACCTTGAGTTTCAAGTAGAGAGAAAATTTAATTAATTAATTTATTAAAAAATAACATAAATTATTTTGAAGTATAATATTATTTTTATTATCATTAATTTACCTAGGTACTGGATATTCAACTTTCTTTACACATTTAGTACACCACATGTATGCTTCTCTAGGAGAGACCTTTTTCTTGCAATTTGGCCCACATGATGCATACAACCATCCATTTCTTGTGCAAATTTTGTTAATTTTAGCATTTACCAAAAATACTTTCTCCTAAAATAATAAATAATTATTAAGAAAATAAAGATAACTACCAATCGAAGGAATTTTAAAAATACATACAATAAAAAAATCTTTTGAAGTGTCATTCTAATACTATCCAACATATCATGTATTGTGATATTATGTGTGACATTTTTTATATCATTGTTATTGTTCCATGCTACGATTAGCTATACATTAGGAATTAACCCTGCTTCTTTGCAAATAACATGAAAATATTATATATCTCAATATCTTAAATAATTTTTAAATTTCAAATTTACATTATCTCTTACTCAATGCATCCTTTGAAGTAAGCTATTTCAATAATATTGTCATCCATATAAATCTTTGTAGATTAAGAGCTTGAAAATGAAATTCCTCCTAATACAAAAATGGTTGTTTTAAAAATTAAGATGCATAATTTTTGAGATTTTTTATTTTAATAAAAAATAAAAAAATTATAAATTTCATTATATATTTATCTCTATTTTCCTTGACGAATATAGATGTGAATATAATGACTTCCACATTTGATTAATTAGAAAATCTAATTTGCTCAAATTGATTTACCATGAAAGATCAAAGTGTTACGTTGAAACAGTTTTTCCTTCAATAAAATTAAAACAATATCAAGCAAATATCTATAATTAATTGATCAAGTATTATATTTTATTCAATTAAAGAGAAATGAAATTCAAATAAATTTCATGTAATTATTTAAATATGAATTACCTTTGATCTCCAATATGTAATTTCATGCAAGTAACATTACTACCATTTGCATGCCTTTCTTGTGGAGTTTCAACACCAACCAAAACTTCAATAACATCTAAATTTTTAATAAAAGCATTTTAAATAAAGATAAATCACATATTCATTCAATAAAATTATATTAAAATTAAAAAAAATACCACAAAGGCATTTCTTCCTTTTCTCAAGAAGCTTCTCATAATTAATGAGTTCAAATACAAATCTCGGAATCTCTGCGACTTCTTCGATTACTTCTTTGACAATAGTATCAAGATGAAATTGAATCTTGTAGTTGTTATGAGAGACAACACGATAAGCATCCTTATTCTTTTCCACAGAAAAACTTTTCACATAATAAACATTTCCTTCAATCAACTTATTCTTAAATCGTAGAATATTGGAACTCCAAATGATAACATGAATAAAATTTTTCTGCAAACAAATAATTATTGTTAATAGAAATCGTTAAATACATAAAAGACTAAATGTAATAACTTATAAAATTACTTTTTCATCGGCCAAAACCATTTCAATAGTAAGATGGTCCATATCACATTTTAAACTAAACACATCCCACAATCTACATATTCATACTTTAATCTTTCAATCTTCTTTATCAGGTGAAAGTTAATCAAGAAATACATATTCCATTTCTCGCAATTGATTTACCTCTGTATAACAAAATATTTTAAAATTAGAAAGAAAACATAACATAATTAGAGAAAAAAAGAAATTGATGCTTAAAATCAAATATCTGTTCATATTGAGAAAATGCAATCCAAGCAACTATAACCCTAAACACGAAGAATAGTAGGAAAATTGGAGGATGGCCAAATGCCAATCATCAAAACATTTTAAAGGATCAGAGAAAGGAGAAAGTTTAAGGCTTTCTTAACATTCAAAGAAAGGACAATAAAAGTAAAAGGAAAAAACATCAAATGTGTATAACTAACGGCCTGACCTTTCAAGTTACTTGACCCTTCAATTTCTAACTTCCGCTAGTTTTTTCTTTCTTCATCTACCAAAAAATAAATGATCTTAAATATTACTAATTAATATGCTAGAAAAAAAAATGGACTCACCTCTTCATCTGCCTAAGAATAAACCAATCTTTTGAATATTAATATTAATAGTTAACAATTAATATATCATTCATTTAAATTATTTTCAGTTATTTTTTATTAATAAATTTATTACTTATCATAACAATCATAATTTATTGCTTATCTTGTAGTCATGAATTCTGAAGAAATAACTGTTCAAGAAGAAATAATTATTCAAGAAGATGTAACAACGTCCCTTTAAGTAGGCCAAAAGGTATATATAAAATGCTTACCCTATTTAATGCATAGGGTAGCATTTTATATACATATATATAGAAGATTACACTACTAACATGTTAATTTTTTTTTTTTTTCATTGCCGTCTCATTTATCATTTTACTAGCCCTATTGATTTTTAGGGACAAATTTTAGAATGAAATTTAATGCGAACCAGTAGAGAGAAAAAATGTACTTCACCCAAGCTACCTTTGATAGTCTTCCATGACATGGTTTGGAACGACAAAATATTATATTGTAGAGACTGTGAAATAGATTGGAATTTAAAAATAAAAAAAAATAAAAAATAAAAAACAACGCTGCGAGAGGTAATATATTCTTTTATTCCATTAAGATTAATTTATTTAGTCAAACAATGATGCTGATACCGAAAAACCAAACAATCCATACCCCAATAAATCCCCAATCTATTCAATTATATGGGGAAGAAAAATGGGAAAAACACTTAACAGGGTATGAGGCAAAAACAACTGGCACAACTCTGACATATATGACCGGCTCTGGGTCCATACTTGCCCTGGCACAAGTTTTTGCAGCTAGCATCTTCGCAATTCTTGGTAGGTACTGGAATGATACACTCCATTATTGCTGTTACTTCAGTTGTTCCTGAAGTCATACTCCATTAAGAGTTCAAATGTTACAAAAAAAAAAAAGAGAAAAAACCCATTCAATTCAAAGAACAAATAGATCAAAGAGAGAGTTTACCAGCAGCAAAGAGAAGAGCTAGCATAAAAATGGTGAACATTAGGCATTTCATGGCTTGATTTTCTTATGATTTTGTTTTGTTTTTTTTTTTTTTTTTTTTTTTTTTTGGTCTGAATGGGAGTGAAGAGTGGATGAATTAGATGGCAATGAAGTTGTTCATATTTATAGCATGAGTAATCCAAATACGGCAAAATTTTGAAAACAACATTGAAAACGGCAGTGATGGGAGGCGATCAATCCGGCCGCAGCTTGCAAAATGTGTTTATTGAAATGCGGTCGGACTAAATCTAAAACCGAAGGGGAGAATTATGCTCATAGGATAAATTTTTTTTTAATGATAAGTGGATAATTTTTTGTACAAATTTTATTTATTACTTTTATTTATTATTAAATAAATAGATTTATGCAATTTATAAGATTAGTAAAGTAAAAAGAGTTTATTATTAAATTACATTTAGCATTGTATAAAAAATTTGTATTAAAACTTTGTAAATCAATCATTTTTTTATTTTTTTTTATAATGTTTATAGTAAAACATTTTTTTTTTCTTTTGGAGGAAACTTCTTGAGGGTAGGATGTTGTAACTTTGGTATTTTAATAAAAAGTATATTATGTTTTAGAAGTAGAATTTATTGTCCCTGAACTTGGTTAGACTAGCTATTATGGGTTTGGTAATATCATAGTTACAACGTCAAGTAAGATTGTAAACTTGCAATTATAACGTGATATTAAATTAGTATAATATGATATTAAACAAATAGATTATTGATATAATATCATAAGTAAATTTCTAAATAAAAAGAACCAATTATATAATGATATATTATATTGTAAGTTTATAATTACTACCCACTACATTGTAACTATAGCATTTTTGTTGTGGGTTAATTGTACTACTTAAGAACATATTATTTTTTAATAACTAACCTATATATAGATAGATGTTACTAGACTAAGAATTCTCTAGAACATTTACATTGCTCAATTGATAAGTTATGCCATATCTTTCTATTTTCATACACTGCTTCATTTTTTAATTGTTCTTGGGTAAGGAAAGATAATTTGAGTTAGATGACCCGGATGGTGTAAATCTATACAATATTATTGTAGAGTTATGGTACCTTGGGGGCAACATTATATATATATTTTTTCTATTGCTGTGATATATTTATTCTCTGCAAAGGAGCAAATCACCTTAAAGTAAGTTTTTTGACATCTATTTCTGATGATTTTTTTTATTGATATTTAACTTAATAAATTTACTAATTATTATTTTTATTGATTTTATAATCAACACACAACAATAACATAAAGTAGAGATAGAGAAGAACATTCGAATTAAATCTGGCGTAGATAATAATAAAATTTATGCATTGGTATTAAACACAATATCTGGAAGCTGGAGTCACTTTGTAAGGCTTAACCCCATGCATGCATTTTTAATGTCTCGATGTATATGTGTGTGTATATACATGATTGCTACATGATTCTTTTTGTGACTTCAAATGATTCATCCATATATGTATCGGTCATCCATCAAATTAGCACATTTGCTGTTATAAATTTTAATTAAAAAATATAGAATCGTGGTACTCATAGATCCATGCGTTTCTGCATTTAAGAAACAATCAAATTCAAATGGTTTCAAATGTATACAATAATTCTTCATTATTGCACTCGGTTTCTTGAATAATTTATTAGTTTCAAATCTTGTTTTTGTAACCGAAAATTTTCATTTAAAATTTTTAACGATTTCTCATTTTTTTTAACTTCAGTTACGTTGTGAAAACATATAAATAGGCAGCCTCCATTTCTACTGAAAATACATATACAATCTTTATAACCTAGACTTTCATTCCTCAAATATGGTACTTTGTATTCAAACCATCTCTTGGGCTCTTGGGCAAGGAAAGGTGGTGGAGTAAAAGCTTACTTTACAAGAGTGCAGAACTTGTAAAGTTATAACAAATAAAGATTGGGCTGTTATATCTTGAAGGTACTATGACCATAAAAAATTGTTGTACTAGTGGCATAAAATGTCATAAAGAGAGTGATTGATCCATATCTCAACTAAAGCTCCTCATACTTTCTGTAATATTGTTCTACTTTTCATCGTTAAATAATTCTTTTTACTAACCTTTCTTTTACTTTATTTTTCTATTTTTTAACTATGAGAAACAGCAATTTTAGGATCGTTCATAATTTTTTTTTTAAAAAAAAAGAGTTTCCCTCATAAAAAACTTGTTAAGCTCACTAATTATCTTAACATGCCTTTTCATTTTAATGGTGAGCATTTCAAAAGATGGAAAGGAAAAATTTTGTATTATCTTAACTTGTTCAATTTGGCATATATCCTCAATGAGGAAAATCCTGTTAAAGAATCAACCAAGAGTATGAGTGCTAAGGAAAAGAAATCTCACATGAAGAAAGTCCAAAAGTGGGAGAAAGATGAATGTGGTTGCCACAACTCTTAACTTAATTATTTTTCTAATGAGCTTTATGAGTACTATGAAAGAACCTACTCTCCTACCCAGGAAACATAAGATGCTTTGCAGAAAAAATATGACACTAAGATGTTGGTGTGAAGATGTATGCTAGTAGTCGATGGTTGCACTTCCAAATGGTGGATGACAAGTATGTGGTGTCACAAATTCAAGAGTTATTGTAATAATCCAAAATTTTCTAAAATCTTAAAATTTAAGTTAGGGATTTATGTGGAAAAAATTTTTATTGTTAGGCCTAATAATTAAAAATTCAATAGTCTAACGGTGGGCTAAAAGAAAATTTGGTATTTAATGGGGTTAAGCCTAATTTTCTATTTCTTCCCTCACCCTTCCTACGTATTCCCAACACCTCACCGGAAGAGTTGCAACCTCAAGCCCTAGCTGGCCAACACCTTCTCACCATGAGAAAATAGGTCAGAGTTTTAGCTTTTCTTCCTTGTCCTAGCAAGATATAGAGATTAATAGGCTTATAAGTCTCAAAATCATGAACAATATTTCAAATCTGAGTTGCTGCACCCTCCAATGTACTGATCTGTTTTGGGTTGCTATCCGTCACCATTTTTAGCATTTTTTGGTAAGAAATCAACTATATTACTCATCTTTTCCTCTATGATTTGAAGTGGGTTAACTCTAATCCTTGAGGGTTTTCAAAATTTAGAAATTTTCTGTAGTTTTCCCCTTCATTTTGTTCATGATAAATACCACCAGAAACTAATTTCCTTTACTTGCCAAAAATTCAGACTACATGACCCTTCTATAGTAATTTACCCATAACTCTTTCTGTAGATATTGTTTTGAGTTCATTCTTAATGCTATGGAAAGCTAAGAGATAACCCTACAATTTTTATGTTGGACATTTAACCCAATTAAGCTATTTTCAAGGTGAAAACTCTGTTGCAATTTTGGATCCTGCAGGCGGACTAAACTGGTAGCCTGATCTATTGTCACTATTTTGACCATAACTTCCTTTGTATGTCGAATTAAGATAATTCTTGATCCTATAGAATGCGAAAACATAGGGCTACATTTTATATGTTAACCATTCAGCCTAGATTGGTCAATTTCTAGGTGAAAATTCTGGTGGAATATCCAGTTCGAAAATTTACCTAAACTTTCGTAGAAAGTTAGTGTGTTTTTTGCTTTACTCCCACATTTCTACTACCATATTGCTTCATGATTTTTTTTTTCTAGATTTTAGCTGTTATTTTGACTGCTTTTGCCTCATTTTTGGTTTGTGAATTTCTGCTCTATTAGTTACATTAAAGAACCTGTTTTAGGTGCTGCTGAAATGTTGTATGTCTTGGCTTAGTTTTGGTTCATTTTCTATTGCTGTGTTTGCCATAAATTTTGTTGTTTTTTGCATTGTTTTAACCCAGAAAAT